AGACCTAACATGTCATTCATGAAATCATATTTGTTTTGCCTCGATGATTCCCTGAGGATGACAAGAAATACCAGGTGATGAAATTCAGGAAAAATGATACGAATTCAAAAAAAAAATAATCTCCTTGATGATCTTTGATATCTTTCAGGATATTTCATAAATTATTAGAGATATATAAGATTGTTTCCCGTGATTATTTGGGATTTTTTCTCCTCGTTCCTACAAAATGAAAATATGAGAATTATTTCAATATATGTGTAGTAGGAAAAATCAGACGATTTGCCCCGAAATGACACTTTCTATCAGGAAGCCTTGAAGAAAAATTCAATGGCTTGTCAGTGACACTCTGTCTGGAATGAAGTTTGAAGAGAAGAATATTGAAGAAATATCCAATTTCCACATAGCTTTGGACGTTTCGAGAACGAATCTGCCCCCGTTCTCAAAATATATTGAAATAATAATGTTTTTATTTTGTTGAAACGAGGAGAGAAAATCCAAGATAATCAAGTAAAATGAATGTAACGCCTCCTCGATGAACCTACAGACAGTATATAGATTACTTCACATATTTGGAATAAGCATGATATAGTGCAACTTTTTTGTTATGAAATCTCTTCTGACCGTTTCATTCCCTGTATAGTGAACATAAAAAAAAGTGACATCGCATATATATAGTTGCTGAATATTCATAAACTACCTGAAGCTATCATGCAACCTCTGATTCTCTACATCTTGCTTTGTTAAGTGTGTATATAGATGGATAGATAGATAGATAGATAGATAGCATGAGCGGTTTGGTGGGTCCAAGTCAAGCGATTAGCATGAACATGGAAAACGTTGTCTCCCAACATGTTAGACCGAAGTGTTGATTTTGCATGTACCGATATTCAATTAGGGCATTGTAGTCGATTGACAGCTAGCTTGTGTTGCTTCCTTCGATGTTGCTTTTGGTGAACGATCGATATCGAAAGTTCGTTTATACACTGTGTTTATACCTACTAAGTTTGTTCGTATTCCAAATTGTTCATTCATTTAGCAGTCTACAAACTCGAAGAGAGTACCATTCAAATGTGATACTTTTCAAAACAATCAACAACTCATGTGACTTCCATTATTTGATGCAAATAATTTAGTTTCACGTTCCAAGAATGGCGTCCCGAGTGGATCGAACCTTTTACTTGCCAACTCCACGCACAAACATATGTAGAAACTCTCCAGTACAAAGGATCTGTAGAAATTATAATGATCGTTGCACAGATTTTGACATTTTTCATACAACAATCCAGCAGATTAGATCTTTCTTTTTTTGTATTAGACAATAGTTGTAAATCATTATTCTTGTTAACTTATATTACTGTATTCTTTGTTCTTAATTGGATTTATTCTGTGAACTAAGTAAGTAAATAAATAAATAAATGAATAAATAAATAAATTGTTGAAAAAGTCCTTGGACCAGGTACAGGAGGTATGCCTACCTCGGTACCTACAGTATAAACCATTCTAACTAATCTTCTCCTGAAGATGCTAACATAGTCAGCAAAACACGTGTCGAGGCGTTAAAAAATCGGTTTGGTTGGTGGTGAAACAATGTAGTGTATTATTGTGCCAAAAGTTCCAGTCTTCGATATAACAAATAAAACCGTTAATTCGTGGATACAAATTTCTGGATTCGTTACACAGGTCGGATGAGTACCGATGGTATGAAGAACAACAGGAATGAAATGAATCTATAAACAATATGAATAATAATAACTATGAATAATAATGGTGAGAAATATTATACAAACTTACATGTGCAACAGGAAATCAATATACATTATTACTTCACACTGGCTCAGAATGAGATATGAGAGCACTAAGAGATCAGCAAGAGAACCAGTAGAGACACAGGTGAAGTGTCTAGTGTACGTGATAGAGACTAGTAGAGCAGAGACGGTAGAGTAGAGACCGATCCCTTAGCTGCCTTCTGTATTTATACTTTCCATCGACCTCCGTACAAGGACAGCTCAATCCTAGATTTTTATTGGTCGGAATCCTCAACTATGCTTGCAGAAACTAACATCCAGAAGCACATGTTCTTAAACTCACAAAAATGTGAAAAAATGATATTCAACCCTAAATGGGCACAAGAACAGAATCTACTACCCTTGCTAAAGCTACTGAATGAATAAGATTGGAAAATATCCAATAACAAAAAAGTTATGACCAGGTAAACATCCATCATTTCAACAGATAAATAATTAATCCAAATTTCAGATCATGAGCAAAGGGTTGAGAAATATTGAAGTCTTTAGGGTTGTAATGATGTTTATCAGAGTTTACTATCAGGAAAAGCTTTGGAAAGTCAGGAATCAATGAATTACTCAGCTCTCTCAGGTTTTCAGGTTTCGAGCTTTCGAACAGGTGAAATTCAACTAGAATCAGTCTCAGGTACTTAGATATCAATCAAAACCAGTCTAGTAATGAAGCTGGTCAAAAACACTTCATTACAACGAATCGTTCGATTTCAAAAATTGAAACACAGGCATTTAGTGAATTAAGTCTTTTCAATGAGGTGCCACACACAATTTTTGGTTGGGTAGCAATGGAGGCAAAGAGGATGTAACGAAGAAGGTGATTTTCACGTGAAAACATGCCCCCTCATCACAATTAACCGTTTACTAAACGAGATAATACGGGTAGGAAGTTTAAAAATGCACACCCGATATGAACTCATCGGACAGAAGTTGATAGTTCAACAACGTGTTTTCTTAAATCGCTAGACTGCCCGGTAAGAAATTCCTTCGCTTTTCCTCAGTCACATCAAGAATGTTCAGCAGAAAAATGTGCTGTTTTTGGCTGCCCAACACCCTAATCGGGACCTCAACTCCCTGCCCTGTACGGTGGAATCGCGACTACAGACACTAATTGTCGATCTCCTTTAATCACTTAACGAGCATGGGCTCATACTAATTGCCACGAGAAGTTTTAGATGCGCTATGCTGACCGTAGGTCTAATTGTTTGTCCCGCCCGACAGAGCGTATACGAGTAGGCTAACTGGCTCCCTCTCAAAGTCTCGACTCTGAAGGCTAATTTGGGGTGAGACTAGTGGAAAAGGAAAGATTTGCATGTTGTGGCTTGTGGCTGGCCTTCATTTGTAAGTTGTTGCGGAACAGCAGGGATAAACACCTTAACACCTAGAGTTGATAACGAGGTTGAAGGAGCCACTGTTCATTAGAGCTCCTAAACGTACTTTACACTGGCTGTTTAGACATTTTTGTGTATTGAAAGTACGGACTCCCGACAAGCTCTGACAGTGAGACATAACTAAAAACGATTTTGAAGTAAATCATATGTTTTGTCAGACAAGAGTATGATTTTTGATTAGGCTTCTCGCATCTTTCTTTCCTCTACATGTTCAGGGAAGAGTACATCCATATATCTTGATTTGTCTTTTATTTTTGAATGAGAGTGCACAACTGTACAGCCTCTCTTCGAGTAGGAAGAAGGTTACGATGAATTAATTAGACAATTATTTCTTCTTGAAATATGGAATGATAAGGATGAAGTACCTCTATGGAGGCCGATGGCAAGTTGGTATATATGTACAGGGTGGCCAACTAAGACTCCAGAGTTCGATTTCTCTGTTGTCTTGAGAGATACAAAAAAAATTCATGAATCGAAATTGAAGTAATAACCAAGCTTCACATTTCAAAATTTCTCTGAAATACACAGGGTGTTCCGCAAGGTCACAGCACATCAAAGCTATGGTTTTTTCATTGGAACACCCTATATTTTATTTCATTTTTGAATTCTCCCTGAAGATCTGATTTCAACGACCCATCATACTTAGGTTCTAGCAGTGAAAGTTACTGACATATAGGGTGTGCAAAATCGAGATTTTCGAAGTTCAGGATTTTTTTCTGTCGAAACTGTTCATTATTCGTCAAAACGGTTTACATGTCCCTATCTCAACTTTTCACTCACTATCAATTGGAGTTCAATTGAAATTGATACAAGGTGGTCAGAAAATTTAAATTTATAATTTGTTTCAATTAAATATCAATTGAACACCAATCGATAGTGAGTGAAAAGTTGAGATAGGGACTTGTAAACCGTTTTGACGAATAATGAACAGTTTCGACAGAAAAAAATCCTAAACTTGGAAATTCTCGATTTTGCACACCCTATATGTCAGTAACTTTCACTGCTAGACCCTAAGTATGATGGGTCGTTGAAATCAGATCTTCAGGGAGAATTCAAAAATGATATAAAATATAAGGTGTTCCAATGAAAAAAACATAGCTTTGATGTGCTGTGACCTTACGGAACACCCTGTGTATTTCAAAGAAATTTTGAAATGTGAAGCTCGGTTATCACTTTAATTTGAATGCAAAACTTTTTTTTGTATCTCTCAAGACAACAGAGGTATCGAACTCTGGATTCTTAGTTGGCCACCCTGTACATGATATATACCACCGAAGTATGTTGTACATACATATCCTATTACTACGAAATAATGATAAACTGAGCGAAAAGTAACTATTCTTACGTTCATAGTGGTTCAGTTGAATGATTTGTGTAGCAAAAATGTTCAGAATGCGGTAAAAATACTTTTAACTACCCACGAAAAGTAGGCGTTTGCTCCCTCATTTATGGCAAAAAAGTTGTGAATTAGTAGGGTACCTACGTTCACCTCAGACCAAGATGGCCGCCGCCGGAAGTGACGTCACTTACGTGAACTGAAAAATTCTATTAAATTCAAACCAGGTACGTCTCACCACCTGCAGACTATGAATGGAAGTCATCAGACCGAAATCCAAAGGCTAAGTAGTACTTGAGCTAATAATCGAAAATTTTTCTGCGAAATTATTTGCTGGCTCTATCTTACATTCATCATCATTCTCCTCTTCTTCTAACAGTTTCTTCTAACAGTGACTCGTAAAGTTTGAAATAGGGAGTACATAAAACTTTCCTGATAACTTGAGAGTCTATCGATAAAAATTTGAGAACCACTTACCCTTTCGTCGTTGACGTACAGGGTGATATTGGCAGCTGGGAAGGAGGGTGGAGAATGACAGTCTGCTATCAGAGGCCTACCGTGCTCCAGACCGGCCCTGTCCACTGTCACAATTGGAACTCCAACGGGAACAACTGGAAGAAAGAGCATCTAGAGAGAAGTTCATATTCCTGAAGTCATTTTCAATTATTCAAAAATCAAAATTTCGCCAACTGTCTTCGTTGAGCAGAGGAAGAATTTTTCAAAATGTAAGTTGGAGTTCGGGATTGGGAAATGTGGTATGAGCCAGGAAAGTAGTTGTTTTCTGTTAGTTATTTCATGAATAATTCATTCATCGATAATTTAAACCCAAACCTTTTCTTTCATGATTAGGTCATTCCTTTTTCATCAAAGAATAAATGTTAAATTGTTTTTTGTTAATTTCATCCTTATTGAACATCCTGACGGAAATAGAAGCTTACAATGAATTATGTTTATAGTCGACCAAAAATCATATGAAATCTATATGTTAGAGATTCCTTTCTGCATCACGTATACAGCGTTAGTCAAAAATGTGTTCCAAGCTTCCTGAAAGTGATTATACTGTAAAAAACAGGTATAGTTGGAAGAATAAACTTATATCCCGAAATATATATTAAGGTAGATATATCCATCCAAACCTGATAAAATTGAATTAATTTTTCCGTATAACTTCTAAACAGTTGAAGCCACCAGATTAATTTTTCTGCATGAATGAATGTTGATGAAATACATTTTGATGAGACACTTCCACATTTTCAATAATGTTATAAAGGGTGTTTTTAGAGGTGGGTCATGTTTTTTGTAAACAAATTTTTTCCTCGTATTCTTTTTGGTGAAAAAATAGGAGCATCTGAGCGAAAATATTTACCTCTAACCGGTTTTTGTAGTGACATGATATCTGCAGATGAATTTTTCAGTAATAATATTTCAGGAGGCCACAAACTTTTTGGCCAGACACCATATCTATTTTTCGTTTTAAAAAAATGTTTTTCACACAATATTTGCAGAATTCTCAAAATTGTTCTAGAGTTTCGAACGCGTCGTGCGGGAACCATCTCGGTATAACGAGTAACCTATAATTTCTTGAAATCTCAGTTCAAAATCGCAGTAATAATATTACTAAAAGCAAAAACAGTAAACCCAGAAATAAACAATAACAATTCATGTCATAAACGTCAAAATTAAAAATTAAAATGATTATGGCCTTCAAAAATATTGTTACCGATGAATTAATCTGCTGATATCCTGTGACACAAAACTCAAATATCTCGAAAACGGTTACAATTTTTCTATTTCGATGAAAGTACTGTTTTCAAGTTTTTTTCCCGCTCTATCAAATGCTTCCAGTTTTTAGCAAAAAGAATACGAGGAAAAAAGTTGTCTCCAAAAATTCATGACCACCTCCTGAAAACACCCTTTATAACAATATCAGAAATTCAGAAGTGTATGAGAAACGTATATTTTATCAACATACAACCATGCAAAGAATTTCTATCTGGTGGCTTTTACTGTTCAGTAGTTAAGCAGGAATATTATTTCAATTTTATCACTTTTGGAAGGATACGTAGTTCATTCATCAAACTATACTCATTTTTCAATGTAAAAAGTCCTCCAGGAAGCTCGATGCATATTGTTGACTCACCCTGTACATACAAGGCCGTCTTAAACTTTGGCACACAATAATAATTCAGGGTCCTTCTGGAAAGTGAAGATAGCGAATTATTATTATAACATTTTTCAATTATGATCTTCTATTCATTATGGGTGAACAAATGATAGTTATTCATATTAAAAGGGAAAAAAGTAGTAGATTTTAGCTCCAGGTTATGTTGTCTTCCTCCGCTACGCGTCGGGAGACAACACAACCTGGACCTAAAATCTAATATTTTTCCCGTGTATAATACACTATTTTTTTGTGTGACAGAAGAAAAGACGAATCAATATTGAGAAGATATTACATTATTCTGAAATCTAAAAATTATCGACGTGAAATTTCAAGTTTTTAACAGTAGGGACACCTGCGTTGTAGGCATCTTCATCATTCTTTTGAAGTAATCAAATATCTGATGTCACTTCTGTCAGTCTAATTCTGTGATTTGATTTCAAAAAATTGCGAATTTAGTAGTTATACAGTGTATATATATGTGATATATATCCGGGAAAAAAGTACTCACTTTTTTCTCACGGGAAAAAAGTAATTTATGAAAAGTGACATTTCATAACCTGTCAACAGAGATGAAATGCCAAACTTTTTTCCCGTCACAGAAAAAACAATATAATATGTTATTAATGATATTACAAAAATTTTGACGGTGGTTAGTTAACTGATGTGATCGACAAGAATTCGAATGTGAGAGAAATTGTCGGTCCTTCGTGGCCCCCTGAGAGTGGGGGCCCCGGAGGGCTAAATATTTCAACAACGATTTTCTTGTTTGCAAAAAAATGGAATGGTATTAGAAATATCTACATATTACAAACTATGACTACTTTGTAACCATTCAACTGATGAGGTCAACAACATTGAAAAGACTTTCATTTCAAGTTTACAATGTTTCTCCCCATATCCGAAAGTTTCATACCAATCCACCCCTGACCATTTTTCTTTCGAAAATTCCACTAGTCCTTTCCGAAACTTCATAACGATTAGTATAGAAAAATGAACCACAAAAAATACACACACACAAATAAATCTCGAGACCCCTAGCGGCACCTCGAGAGAGAGAGAGAGGGCCATTAGCGAAGACTGTTGCAACTTTCCTTACATTATTAGCCCTGCATCCGGTTATGATAAACGCGAGACGATATATCAAGCCCTGGGGCGCCACCTCTCGTCGCTGCAGTGAATCGCGAACACCAGAATCCAGACCACAGACTTATAGACTAATCTAGACCGCCAATTCCATATGGAAAAAGGTCAGCAGCCACTCAGGAGATCGAACTGGTGAAACTGATTCATGTGCATTTGGGATCTGTCATATCACACTCATAGATCCCAGGAACATAGGTGTAATGAAGGAAAAAGGTTGGGAGGGGTCTACCGTGGAAGGTTGATAAGCCATACATAAAGTAGAGGGAAAAGAATGAAATATGCACTGAAGAAAAAATTGAGTGAAATTTCACTCAAGGTCCACGCAATAATGAGTCATTTTCGGTCCACGCCCGATTGAGTTGAAATTTCACCCTACTTGACTGTGTAAAATGGTAATTCATGAACCGATTCAATCAAATTTGTTATAAACATTCTCATTGATATGAGATCTTGATTAAATAACTAGTTTGAGTTGAGAATTCACTCAAATATTTCAATCAGTAAATTCACTCACAAGCACATATGCATTTACTCAGAGGAATTTTCTACAGTGTGCTGTATTCAGGTCTCATAGTTTCCAAATACTCACATTTGAGAACTTCATTTCAAAAAATGACAAATTTCCATGTCCTGGATTTGCCTGGAAGCTCTCTGGCTTAACATCGTCTGAACATAATAATTATCCTTCCTGAGTGGCTAAGGTCCAATAGTCACCTTATATCCTCAAACCATTCATTTCTCCCATTCTTATAGGAGTTATATTGGATCATTATTGAATGAGTGAACTATCAATCCAGAATCTTCTGAAATAGATGAGCAGGTTTGGCACTTCACGCCTGAGCTCAAATCCTTCACAGCTGAATGAATATGCAAAACATGCATGATTCCATTTGATTTGAATACTTGCTCAATTGATGAAAGCAAATTAAAATAATAAATTATTCATTACCGACAAACTCACCGATGAAAAGAAACATCTTTAGTATTATTATTAATAGTGGAATTCTCACACCAAAGAACACTGCATTTCATATTTCCTAGGATTGACGAAGACAAAACGAAAAATTTTTTATCACCACTCAATTTCTATATTATTGTTGTCATCCACCTTGCCGCTGCCTATGAATAAAATGGATGCTAGGTTGATTTCGATACCACATCAAAGTCAGGACCGACAGCTTGAGTGTTCCTGCGTATTGAGCAGAAGCGTTTTCAGGCGAGCAACTGACCCTACATTCTCGGGTTGCTCTGATATGACTACTAGCAGTCTAGATATAGTTGTAAGTCGGTGATCCAGACCGAATAGCATTTTATTCCTGCGAGGAACGAGCATACGCTGGGTCATGGTTCTATAGGGTTAGGGAAAGAAATCTCAGTACACCTTGGAGAATACGCCCCAGTGTTCCTGGCTGAAGTGTTAGTAATACTGACGTGTGTCAAAGAAAATTCCGGCAGAAGTGAACGTGGACCGATTAACATATGCTCGGACAGCAAAGCTGCTGTAATGGCATTAAGATCCAACAGAAGATCCAACAGGATCACAACTAAATTGGTGTCTGAGTGCCTTATAAAATATGGCAAACACTAGAAAAGTCAGCCCAATGTGAGGAGGCAGATAGACTAGGTTCAGGAACGACACCCATTGGACCAGAATCGATATTGGGAATACCCAATAGTACGGCTATATTCTTCATGGAGGAAATGCTACAAATACAGTTCCTTGAAACATGGCCGAACACACCAGGAATGAGACATTCAAAGCTCCATATGAAGAAACCTTCAAAAAGGCTCACGAGTGAGGTCCTGTCACTTAACAGAAGGGATCTCAGAAGTACCTAGTAGGAACAACAAATTTTAAAATTTTCAAATAAAATACCCATGTAGGTAACTCAGACAGGAGACACATATTATGTAGGTGTTTTGTGTGAAATCTTTATATTTTGAGCTCAGGATTCTATGGTTGAAATATATCCAATTAGTAATGAAACACCCTGTATCATAATATATCAAACGTCAGGGCGTCTCCTCCTTTGCAACGGAGCGTGAATTCGCCAACTCTCTCAGTCAAACTGGGCTTTATGCCTGCTAGCTATAAACAGGAATAACAGGAGCGAGGTCATGGTTCAGGGTTCGCAGGTTTAAATTAAGTATGTATACAGTGGTTTATTAATCATCCTACAGAGCAACCGAATTCTCGCTCTATCAATAATGAATAAAGGAAGTACAAGTGATTCGAAATTGCCGCCATTCATATTGCAGTGGTTTCTGATTCTGGTAATCTGTTGGAATGTTACAGGTGTCATG